TAAATTTGAAAGTAAACTTATTGAGTCAGCCAACAAGGAAAGTCTTGAAGTTTGAACGGAAGCCAATTTTTCGTTCAACTCAGTTCAACTCATTTCTAATTTTATAGTCCTCATCATACCCCAAAGGTGAACAACTTTATTTGCAGATCACGAACGGTATACATAAAACAAATCACGAAATTCAACCAAACAACTTCCTCCTGGTAAAACGAAATTGCAGGATTTGCAGGTTAATTGTTGTACCGATTATGTCAGAAGCCATAAACATTTGCTCCGAACTTTACTATCGCACGGCAGCCCGCGAGGCAGATAAGACGTCGTGCTAATTCAACACAATTTGCCAAAGTTCACGTCGGTTTCGGCGAAAAGCTTGGTATTTTCTGTGAAAATGAACTTTTGCTCGAAATGAAATCGCACGCACGGGCTCTCGTCGCGGGACTTGATTTAGTGAGGCCGTGTGTCGGCATCACTGGCTTATCTCCATGAATATTCATGAGAGTTTCCTTCACATTTGCATAAAAATATTATCCCAATGCAGCAAAGCAGCGGGTCAAAACGGCAAATTAGTCTTTTTCGCAGAGACGGTGAATAGAGTGTAAACTGATAACAGCATGTCGCATTGCTATCTTGCAAAAACATAATAATCGTTCGGCCACTCTGGAGACAACACTTGAGCCTTATTCCAATGTCACTTTCTCGAGAGACTGATGAGAGAGATTTCGCTTTTATCAAAAGCGGCAATCTGCTGTTTCGGAGGGTGAAGCCCGGCAATTGGCAAAGTCGGGGCCGTAAATCAATGCTCGGTGCTAAAATATGGCTCTAAACTGGCTGCGTGCAAAAGGGGATGATAAATTACCATTTGCAGCCACGGCTCACAAGCCCGACGTTCAGGCTGAATTACAATTTATCACAAAATGTAATTTAGAAAATCCGTTCAAATCGAAAAAAGAAACAAAATTGTTTATTACACCTGCATTTTATTAATTTTTTTCTGCAGCAGGGCATAAGGGTCAGCCAAGAAATTTCGCCTTTGAACGTTGTAAGTTGTAAAACCATTACTTTTCTCTATCGGTTTTGCGCTACAAAAAAATTTCTGGCGACTCTTTCAGCTATTCTGGGATAAATTGGCTATGTTTCGCGAGTGGTGCGCCGGCCTCTGACACTGCAAATTATTGGAACCGACCCGCTCGGCCTGCGGATTATGTGATTACGTCCAAAGCCTTTTTGCTGCCACAACTCGGTCGGCGGCTTACATTCGATGCAACTCTAAGCCGACTTGTGCAGCGCTCTTCGATTTCCAATATTTATTTTTATATCTTCTGGTTAATAAATTAAAGAGATTCGTAGAAAAAGTTTTCACATTAAAAACAATCATAACTATATAAATATACCCTTTGTTCAAACTAAAATGCGTTTTTGGTCCTTTAATGATCGCATCAAAGAAGAAAGCTACACAATAAATATTATAGTCTGGTCGCTTGCGTGTTTCAATTTGCTCTTTTAAAACCGGCGACGTCCTTTGTTGTTGAAAAAGAGCCGTGAAATTCGTGCGGGCAATGCACTCTGATTTACTCTTGGCAGTGAATGGAGGAACACAATGTGCCAGACAATTCATGCTGAAATCACAAATTTTAGGCTACACTGAGATAAAGTTTCGTTTCCTTCTTTTTAAGCGCATCAGAAAGCGCATCTTCAAAATTTGCAGTTAATTATTTTGAATAGTTTTCATAAAAATAATAAACCGATTTAGATATTTTATAAAATATTTAGGCAAAGGAACCTTAAAATAAAAAATTTTAGAAAATTAAACTTGTATAAATTCAGCTAAAATTTAATTCAAAGGAAGGAATTAAGCAGATTTTGTAACATGCCAGTCTGATTTGATAACTACATTGGTTGAAAATAAACTTTTTCAAAGTTATTTTGTTTGAATTTATAAATTATTTAAATTACTCAATATTATATCTCTAATTTAAAAAGGTTCAACTTAAAAAAGGGTTAAAATTTAGGTCGCAAACGCCTCAATTAAGCTTTGTTACCACTCATGTATCTCCCACGTGTAACGCAGACGAATTCTTCGCCAAGTTCAGGGGGTCGTTCCGCTCACTTGCGGCGTTCCCTCGTTTGCTGGCACACGCGGCATATATTCATCGTGAACCAGATCTGTCTCTCCGGCCGTCTGTCGCGCGAAGCACTTAACCCTAAATCCCGCGGATGCATCATGAGTGATAATTCGCCTTATTATTTCGCGTTCGGGCGGCCTTGCAAGGCGTGACAAAAAATTACTCTTGCTCTCGTCCGCAGACGACAAACACACTGACACACTATATATGCCTCGGCCCGATTCGTTCAGATTTTAACTCGTCAGTTGCTCTACTTGCTCGTCTAATCGAAGCATTTAGCTTAAACAAGCTTCTGTTTATTGCAAATCACGGCGGGGCTTAATAATGCATCTATGACGTTCGCGTGCTGCAGCAGCCAATTGACGTTATGGTGCAATGCAAATTTATCCAACGTTTATGCACGAGAGCGGATAAATTACACCGTATAATGCGGAGTTAGATGAATGAGTTTATCGATTTTGAGCTTGGTTGCAGGCAGGATTAATATGCAAGAACGAAACTAAATCCCCATATTATTCTTGGAAATTATATTTTAATTATGTAAACATCAATGAGATAAAAAAATAATTATTCTTGCGTAATAATTTTAAAATTTTCAACAAACAATTGAATTTCCCAAAGTGAACGAAAATTTGGATTTTTCCTCAATAACTATATTTCTTGATCAGTTATCCAAATCAAATTTTAAATTGTCTTTTTTCATCAAGTAAATTAATTTATGAATCCACTTGTTTATATAATTTATGTAGGTTAATTAAAAAAAAATGTGTCTTGTTCTCAATAAAGCAATATTATGTAAAAATAAATATCAAAACTCTCAACATTTGGTCAGAAACCGGTTTTCCAATCCGAAATGCTGCAGAAGGAGATTAAATAACAATAATTTCTGTTTATTAGTTCCGTTTTCCAAGCCTGAAAAATTAAGAAGAGCTCAAAAAGGGTCCCGAATTGGTATCGGATTATAAGTTACGTCCCTGAAGTGGCACAAATGGTCTCACTTAACACAACGAAACAAACGCGCACGGCCGTAAACACCAATTCCATCTGCGGCTCCAGTGGGTTGGAGGGACCAGTGCGGGGCGATAAAAAGTAAAAACTCCTCGCATTAGTGAGTCGGGCCGTAATGAAATACACGTGGGAGCCCCGGCGAGATATTCCGACAAAAAAAGCCAAAGGACTGACTGAACTCCCGACGGGGAGAAGTTAAAGAACCTGTTGTCTGCCACCGTTGGGGCCACCCTATTATAAAAAAAATATATAATATGAAAAGGTCGGCAAAGTATGATCTTCTGGGGGCGGGATTCTATTCTTGTCGTCGACCAAATCCCTGGGTATAATAAAGGAAGAGGAATAGCCTGGGTTTTCTGTAATTAATGTCGGGAAAAATGCCTGCTTTTATATCCGCCAGGGAGAGACTCTTCATTTTCATCGATTCAAATCGGAATTGATTTTCTTCGGAACAAAAACTCTGGATTATTTCGGTCGAGGGTGCTCGTCTGCCGTCATCGACAGAAGGATTGTTTAAAAAAGTGAGTGCGGGGGACAAGAGGAGTTCGTCGCGGAACAATGGGATGAAAAAGCCAGCGGGCTCATCCAGAGAGGGACAAAAACACAAAAAGATGAGTGGCTGCATTATTTTAGTCTCTGCCACTGGCTGCTCGGCCTTAATCAAATTTGCGCGCGGCTGCATGCTTATAATGAGAGGCACTATTTTCGAATTTCTTCCACATGCTCTAACGCGATTCATGCGCTGAATTTAATTTTTCCATCGTTATGTGTGCGACGAGACGCGCCGTTACTCGGGTCACTGCAATGACCTTCTGTCAGTAGAGTAGAAATTATTGCCGCACTTTTCCACAGACGGAAATTTTTTAGTTAAAAAAAGGGCCAATTCGGGGACTGCTGCGGCAACGCAGGGAAAAATATTGTTAACTGTAGACCGTAGCTTTAAAAATAATTAAATTGTTTTTGGGAAAATAGAAATTTAGTTATTTAGAAAGTCAAATTTTTTTGTCATGTTCTATTTAAAAGATGCAAAGTCTGAATTACGTGCTAAATTGATCTTTTAAATTGAAAAATAGTTCCATTATTTTAAAATTTGCCTTCCTTCTCTTAACTTTTTCTTGAAATTTGAATAAAGAAGCCACCTAAACGACACTTACTCGGACCCTCTTCCGGAAGACGTGAATGCCCTTCCTGATTGTCGGGCAGCCCTCGTTAATTTGCTACTGATAACAATGGCATACAAAAATTCACTTTATCAAAATAAAAAGGACCTCATTTCCAGAACAATTAATTTACCAAAACACTACAAAATATTATCGTTTGCAATAATATTTACAATATTATAATTGAGGGTTTTTACAATATTGAAAATTTAAACAATAAATAATAACCAAAAGTAAATTTCTAATGTACTTTTGTAGGATTTTGAAATGAAGGAATAGAAGTTGTTTAAAAAAAATTAATTAAAACAATTGAAAAGTGCTTTCATGTCAAAATTTCACAGCAAGCCCCTTTTACTTTGTATTTTAATTAACTTTTAAAAGTTCCGTCGACCACTTCAGGCTTTTATATACACCGTGTCACTTTGATAAACTCTTGGCGCTCCGCATAACTAAAACTTGCCTATCAAACGAAAGTGCCTCGGCGCCTCTAAAGAGTAACGTCGACAAGAAAGCCTGTCGCTGGTGGGAACATTGTGCATATAATTCGATTATAATTTCTCTCCCGTCTAAAGTAAAAGCGACCTTCGGTGAAAAGTCACAGTGATGTACTTTTACTCACCGCCGAGTTTTAAAATAAGAATTAAATCACGACCTCAGCAGCAACACCCCCGCAAGGAAGTTGTGCGTTTTTATTTTCGTTTCTCTTTACCTGGTGGAAAAGCGTCTCGGTTTATTTCTTCAGCACGTTGTCATGGCGTTGTTTGCTGCTCTCGCATGCACGCACCGTCCACTTGCTAGGGTGTGTTTGTGTCACTGACAGGGCGCAGGTTAGCGTGTGGTGCGCGCGTCCGCCTCGCAGGCCGTCCCGTTTACAACTGATGCGAGCACCAGCCCTAGCGACAGGCCCTCGCGCGCGCACCGCCGTACTAGTTTTCTCGCCTCCCTCTCCTTGGCGCTCATCTCCAGGCCGCCCGCGTGCGCCTCCGCAACAAGCGCCCATGGTCCATTCGGCCACCAACTACAACTTTGATCTTCCAAAAACACCCAAATTGCGATCCTAGGGACAAAAATGATGAATATTAATAATTTGAAATTAAATTCAAAGGTGGAAACTACAACCTTGAAATCTCGTGATCAGAAAAATAAATTGCTATCAATGTTTCTTCCCCTGAAGTGAAGCTAATAATTTGCGAGCAATTAATAAATTAATAAATTAGTAGATACAAGATATAATTTTAATTCCTGAGGTGAACAGCAAAAGGTCCAGAAGTGTTTCACCAAAATAGAAACATGTGTTTAGGGTCGGCACTCAACCCTCTGAACTCAAATAAAATATAGAATTCGGCTTTTCAAATCTAGCATAATATTTATATTTATCTATTTTTAATTTCTTCGCTGCTTATTTTTATTATAACGCTTATTTTTATTATAATTTTAAAAATTTTAAATTATATTTGATTACCATTTAATGTAATTTTGAATTTTTGACAACTGCTTATTTTTTTAAAAATTGATTCCTCTCATCGTAAAATTCCAAAGTAAGCCAGTATTGTTTGTCCAATTTTTTCTGTTATCTCATTTTTGAAGATTATAAGATATGATATAAAAATGTCATTTCGTCGCTTGGCATTTTTTTTATCATGCTGATTGAAGGAAAAATTGCAGCGACTTTAGGCTATAGACATTTTTATTATCAAGAAAATTTATACTGTTGAAATATTTGGTTTTTAATATTTGCTCACTTTTTATGCCCAAACTCCAAACGCTCAAAGTATGCTTACTTTTTGCTTTATGATTCCAACATTTTTTATTCTGTCATGCTTTTTAAGAATTTTTTATTATTTTTCAAAATGTGTTTTTTTGTTGTTGTAAGGATTTGACAAATAAACAACAACCCTCAAGTTAGGCAACAAGTTTTTTATGCAAATATTTAAACCATTTCAAAAAATTTCAACACTCCTATTATCAAATTACCAATCAACAAATGCAAACAAAAACATTCACTTTACCATTCCCACGAATTCGACCGCTTTTGATATGGTTTCCAAGCACTCTTTTTAAATTTGCAAGGCAAATTAATATGCACGATCAAGCCGGATAACATTGGCGGACGAAATTGACGTTGTTTGCTCTCTGTTGAAATTTGCGAGGTTCACAAACTCATCGTTTTGCTCTGAGTGAAGAGTGAACGGGATAGGAAACCTCATCTGCTTGTGTTTGCAAGTAAAAGTGGAAAAAGTCATCACCAAAATCAATATTAGTCTTGGTGGATTTTCTTTGACCAAACGGGGAAATTTCCGGCACCAATTCTGTGTAAGTTATCAAAAACTTCTAAGAAAAAAATTAATTAAATAAATAAATCGGTTTTATAGGGATTAAAATATAAATTTCAATTTAAAACAGTTTCAAATTAATTCAAATTTTCGTTGGAGAATTAATTTTTTTCTGAACTCAATATTAATCAAAGTAAACCTGAAATAAATAAAAAATCATCCTAATTTAGACAGCCGCGTGTATGTTTTTTTTTCTAGTTTAGAGGCACAGAAAAAGCAAAAAGGTTTTGCCACCGCCGGAGAAAGGTTCATCTTCATCTCTCGCTCCGTTCCGCCGCCCAATTTCCATTTTCCTTTCAAAGCCAGGCTCAGCATTTCGCCTCTAAAAAGCACGCCCATCACCGTGGCCGCTTATTTCAGTGGAGCTTCGGTGATGGGCACGATTGTTATTTGGCAAACACGGCGCAAGACTTGCACTTCTTCCTGCCGCTGATGATCCAACGGTCTTTCGCTCACCGCGTCCCTTGTCAATAAAAGAAAAGAGCCCACGTTGCTCAGCTGGGCCTGGAGCACGAAGGAGGAAAGTTGAAAATCGAGGATGTAAAAGAAAGAGGAAAATGACTACTTTGAATTTATTGAATGAAAAAGGAAGAAAAGAGGAAAAACCAATCAACAATAAATTTCTCTTTGCGTTTCTTTTCTTTATTCCAATTTCGCTATGACAGTGGAAGAAAATTTTCAAAATTTATTCTTCAAAATTTTTTAAAAAGTGAATAAAAGATAATCAAAACTTTCCTTAGTTTGATAAAATTAACTACTGTATAAGTATGACAAGTTGCAAATTTTAAACCTGGCTTTTCCTCGATGAGGTTTTTTGAATCATTATATATTCTAGAATTTTCTTCCTTAAACTTCAATTTACAAAAAAAAAAACATCGATGAAAGTCTTTATTTTGGATTTTATTAGTCTTATAAAAAAACTTATCTATTTTAAAAGTTTTGTATTTTTCTTCTTCCTGTTGCTATTAAAAAACTTCCTAGTGTGTTTTCCTGACTGCTACATCTAGAAACATTTCCTTACATAGGAAAGCTGACCCGAGGGTCTCTCGAACGATCCCAGAACAATCGGCTCCATTATTAGTTGCTGTCCTGTCGCGGCGGAATGCAGCGCACAGCCATTATTCTCGCCAGGCTGCATTGTCTCCGCACTAGAAACACAATATAATATATTACGCCTGCTGACACGAACATGTGTCGCTTTTTTGGTTACGCGATCACCGAGTTATCATTATGACACACTTGGCAATTTCTCACTTCGCGCTCCACGTACCTCCTTCTCTTTTCAACCTTTGTCACACAAATAGCAGATTTTAGATTTTAATGCTCACTTCAAAAGTGCGGAGAAATGCTGATTTTATCTCAAATCTAATTAAAGTCTCATCAGACAGACTTGAATCATATTGAAAGTTGTAGGCAATTATTTGATCCTCTTGTTTTCTTTTTGCAGCCTCCAGACGTCACTTTGAAATCGCTTTCCGCATGTTTGATTTGAATGGAGACGGAGACGTGGACTCGGAGGAGTTTGAAAAAGTGGCCACCCTCATCAGGCAGCAGACGAGCATCGGATCCCGACACCGAGATCACGCCAACACAGGAAACACCTTCAAGGTGAAGTTTACAATGTGACCTAGAACCAAAATTTTGCTAATAAAGTTGGCCTAATTTTCCAGGGCGTCAACTCTGCTCTAACCACATATTTCTTTGGGCCCAACTTGGAAAAGAAGTTGACAATTGAGAAGTTTTTGGATTTCCAGCACCAGCTGCAGAGAGAAATTCTCAGCTTGGAGGCAAGTTTGTTCAAATTTACCCTCGGACTTGATAAATCTTTAAAATTTATAGTTCCAGAGAAAGGGTCCTGGTGAAAATGGCAATATATCGGAGGCAGATTTCACAGAGCTCTTGCTGGCGTATGCTGGATATCCGCAAAAGAAGAAGACTCGAATGATCAAAAGAGTAAAGAAGAGGTAATTTAAAGAGAATCATTTTTGAATTATTATTTTCTCATGAAGAAATATTAAAAACTGCAACTCACGTGGTCAATTTTAAAGAAAAAGAGCTACTGATTAACAAATTTGTCATCTTTAATAAATTTGATTATTTTTAAAGCAAATTTAATTTGTATGATGTGTAATTGATAAAATGCAAAATTATTATGCTTTGAATTGATCCTACAACCTGCTTGTAAAGTAAAAAATGTTTGAATTTTTAATTACAAGACTTTTGAAAATTTAATATTATTTCAGATTCAGGGACAGCAATGTTGGCATCAGCAAAGAGGATTATCTGAAGTTTTTCCATTTCCTCAACAACATCAATGACGTGGATACTGCGCTCACTTTCTATCACATTGCTGGAGCTTCGATTGATCAAAGTAATTAAATTAATGTAAATTACACACACCAATCAATCAAAATCTTTTGATAATTAATCCTGCAATTATTATTTTTTATTTAACAAAAATCATTAAATTTTGTTTATTGTTTCCAGTAACTCTGAAGCATGTTGCCAAAACAGTGGCCCACGTTGAGCTCACCGATCACGTCATTGATGTCGTCTTCACAATTTTTGACGAGGACTGTAAGAATATTTTTCTTTTAACATGCATTGAACTTTAAATTTATATTTTGTGGATTACTTCAGAACTCTCACGTCAGATTCATGCTGTGAATCACAAATTTTGTAGCACCTACCAAATAATAACCTAATTTCTGACATGTGTCACTTGCAGTGGATGGAGAGCTGAGCAACCGAGAGTTTGTGGCTGTCATGAAGAACCGTCTGCTGCGCGGTCTGGAGAAGCCCAAGGACACCGGCTTTGTCAAGCTGATCCATTCAGTTTTGAAGTGCGCCCGGGAGACCAAGCCGGCCCTTCTTGATATTTAAACTTGTGTGCCAAACCCATTGCTAACTGTAATCTCTGCTTCGGAGAGCATTAAATTTTGCACCTTGATGATTATTATATATTGAAACAAAGGCTTTATCCCTTGGATTACTTATAAATCAAGCAGTGAGCTTGTTAAATAATACAAATATATCCCTGTTGTTGAGAAATCCTCAATTGTTGCAGTTTATAATCAAAACAGAAGAAGAAGTGATGTTTTTGCATTTTGTAGCATCGAGCGAAAGAAGCTCTGGAAAAGAATGAGATTCAAATGCTTATCCGCTGCAATTGTCTGTAAATTTGGGTGCTAATTCGAGATAAGCCATTGTACGCAGAAAAATCATTGTTACTATTCACTCAAAATATGCACCAGTTAAAATTTAAAATTTTTATACTGTCAGCACCTTTTGGATTGTCTTTTTAAGGGGTAATAGAGTTTCATTATATTGATTAAAAATATTGATTAATTTTAATTTTAAGAGTGTATGTAATTTTCTGTTGATTGCACAATCTAACAAATCTAGTTAACCAGCTGTACTTATTTTTTTTTTTTACTTCAAATATATGCAATCACAAATTTTTGTAATATTTATTTGTGCAGAAAACTGTCCTTAAACTTCTTTCATCTTTCGTACTTATTTATTATTTTCCTCTTAACAATGAACCACTGAGACTGTGATTGCTGTAATAATTTAATTCTGCATGTCGATTGATTAAATAATTTTGAAAATGAGTTTAAATAAAGTTATTTCAGAGAAACTGCAAATTTACCAATCTTTTTATTTAAATTTTTGGTGTCTGGCAAAAGAAATAAAAATTCTACTGGGAATAAAACTGTCTTTTGCAATGTGCGCATTTTTTCAAGCCTGTTCTGCTCAAACATGGAAATTAATTTCCCAGAGTCTATAAAAAAACTGAAAAAGCAATGAGAACGGCATTTTTTATAGCAAGAATGTTTTCTGCTGTCTTTTGTCTCCCCTTCCTTTATTTACGATTTTTCATGAATATTAAACAACTTCACCAAGTTCAAGAAGTTTTCCCTTTTTGCTTCTAAGGAAAATTTATGCATTGTGATTGTGAGCATTTGCAAGAAGTAAGTCTGAAATGCTATGTTGCTGCGCAAAACATAAATAAAATCATATGAAAATAAATAAATAAAATAAACTTGAATTTTTTTTACAGGCACATCATCTTGCATATTGACACACTTTGAAGACTCAGTGGCACAGACCATAATAGAAAATGTGCTACTATAAATCTTTAGTATGTCACTTTCTTTTAATGTTTATTATTATTTTGGCGGAGATTTATTTTAATCTGCAATCATTAATTTTGTTGGGCTTTTCCTTTTCCGGAATATTATTACTGAAACTTTTACTGTCGGCAGACGTGGGGACCGCTGTGGAAATGTGTTAGGCCGTGTGGGCTTCTTGGTAATTATTCTCAAAGAACTTTAAATGCGAAGGGAATAAAATGACATTTGAAATTACGCTTTTACTATTTGAAAGCCTGCGTTTAATTAGAGACAAGTGCAAAAGTGTGATCATCCCATCTAATAAACGCTCTGCCTCTCATTACACATTTAATGCCACTAATGCCAGCAATTTTAACTTTTGTGACGCGCATAGATGAACGTAATACGCGGTTTAACGAGTGGAGAAGTATGTACATAAGCTAAATCTTAAATTTCACAATAGTGGCCTTCAATTTTAAATACAACACATAACAGAATAACATAGATTTTTTTAAAGAAGGTCTAGGTGTATTACCTTTTACTATTTTATTTTTGCAGAATTATAAAAAAAAAACATATTCCAGTAATTCAAAATTAATTTCTCATAAATCAAATATATGAAATATCACCACATTTTGAGGAAACAAGAAAAAAGTTTAGGAATGTATACTTGGTATAATTTGATTCCAACTTCGTTGAAGTTAAAATTATTATTTATTAAAAATTTTTTAAATCACAAGTTTATTAATGCTATATAATAGCAAAACCATGAAGCAAAACTATTTTATATTATAAATAATTTAATTTGATTAAATCAAAAAACAAAATATTATTGTTGGAATTAATAAAAATATAATTATGTTATTATATTGTATTATAACACTATTTAATAAAAAGTATTTATTGTTATTATTTAAATGTAAAAATAAATTAACAAATCGTTTACTTATGTTGTTTATGATTTTTTACTAATATTACAAACATACAATTTCCGCATAGAAATCAGTATTATTAAATTGCTACAAATCTTCTGCTGCACAGCTGCAGTATGTAATTTATAAACTCGTCAATGATTCATAGAATATTATTTAACTTTTTTAGTTTACATACTGAACGGTTAAAAAAATTATAATGAAAAATTAACACACCAGAATGCATCTGAGCATCGCATTTTATATTTTATTTTATTTCTAATAAGAAGAATATCTCTTTGTTCTAGTCGTAATGAAATCAGAATATATAAAAAAGTATGATATTTAATTCCCATTTCAGGATAACTATTTTTTTTAGAAAAATATTTGTATTGAAAAAAGGCGTGAAATTTTTTTAAATGAGTTTCTAAGTAAAAAGAGACAAAATTTAGAGACAGATTAAATATTTCAACTACCTTCTGATAATAAAAATTGACAGATTTTACAAATTTTATATTGAAAAAGTTCATTATTTTTGTACCTAGCTCTATAATATTTTTCAAGGTTCAAAAAATCTTCCTTGCTGTTTGATGTCCATTTTTATATATTCAAGTTTGCATCTCAAGAATGATTAAATTCCCGAGAGTGAGAATGAAAAAAAGCACGCATTCTTGAGCAGCAGTGTGGCGGCGTGCGCGAGTCGCGAGCGCAGACTCTGCGGCGGGTGGCCGATCGCCGGCGTACGCGCTTGACACGGACCAAGTCAGTATTCCGCCGGGCGAGTGCCGGGAAAGAACTACTCGCGGATGGACATGCCCGACACATGACGCGTCCGAGCGTCAAACTGCTGCGCAGCCGTACGTGGCCGGTCGTGTCCAGCCTGGAGGACGAGCTGGACACCGGCCAGCAACAGGTCATCCACTACTCGTACGCTGAGTTGCCGGGCGTTGTCAATGACTCCGTCAAACCAAAGGTGTCAGAGGAGAAGACTGATGTAGTAGAAATATCCTTGGACACTCCTCGGCGTCCTGACCTGCTCGTTTCGTGTTGTTCCGAGGACAGAAAGTTCTTTTCTGAAAAACCTCCCGAGGGGAAAAACACGCGGTGCGAACATGATGTGCCGGCGCTGGTGGTGTGCGACCCCCGAAAGTCGGCAACCCTCTACAGACACTACTACCCTGAGGGCGGCTGGGGCTACGTGATCGTCACGTGCTCGGTGCTGGTCAGTGTTCTCGGACAGGGGCTGCAGCTCAGCTTCGGACACCTCATCTCACCCGCCGAGAGCAAGTTTGGCATTCACAGTGCAGGAGATATTGGTGAGTACAAATTTTTTAAATATTTATCTACTATTAGGGTTTTATGGCTCAATTTTTAATTTACTAGGTGAATTCGTTTCAAGATAAGAATCTCAAGCGTGTCTTTTTCAGCGAGTGATTAATTTTGAAATTTTTGGAATAATTATTTTATTTTACTTTTATAATTGCATCATTTATTGAAAATAATTAATTTGCAAGGAAAAAAAGACTTTCATTCAATGTACGCAAATGTATGTAAATATTTTCTTTAAAAAGTCTTGGACTTGAAATTTATATAATATTAAAAAAATTTAAACACAAATACTGCAAATGAGAGTTTTGACGAACATTTGTGAACAAGTTTTTGGTAAAAGTCCGTGAATTCTATAGTTCGTCTCGAACAGTCCGAGATGCCGAAAGAAATTCGCAGAAAAAAACGTACTAAAATATGAATGAAATACCAAAACGCGTCATCCTAAAAGAATGTTTTGGAATGGAATGGAATTCGTGCTCTGCAAAACGCTAAATTTAGCCAAGGCTGAAGCAGACAATCCAATTCAATTTGATGCTGCGATGCTTTTTGGTTGCTGAAAGAAGCTCCCCTGCGCGTTCTTTGCATACCTTTGCAAAATAAACAAAATAATGTTTGAAAAAATTCTTCTCTCTTTCTGGATAAAAACGCAACATACATGTGAAAATAAGAAGTTTTTGTGCGCAGCTATATTATTAGTAAAGAGAGACACCTAAATTGAATATTTAAATTTTATATTAAAAATTAATAATAATGGAATTAATAAATCCAAGATTTTAGTTGTTCCTTATGAGGTAAAAAATTTTTCAGTGAAATTAATAAAAAATATATTTATTTGGAGTCAATCATCTAAAAAGTTCATTCTAAATATCCTAGATATAATAATTAATTAAATGCTAAAACAAAAAGGAATTTACTTTATCAAGTTCACTGTCATACAAAAACAAAAGAAATGGGGAATAAGGACATGCATATAATTAAGGCATTGGTGTTGTCAATTTAGGTTATTTAAATATTTAAAAACAATTATTATTCTTAAATTGATTTACAGAAGCGGCTACGAAGTATAAAGGACATAAAGGTGCGGCAAAATTTATAATAAGTGAAAATGATTTATTAAATCGAGTACAATTTGAAATATTAGAATACTATGGAGGAATAAATTAACTCTGAATCGAGTTGAGTTATGCGACAATTTTCAAACGACAAAAAAAAATCCAGCACGTTTTTAGAGCATCCATAAGGGAAACCCGTACTTCCTGGCGCCAGAAAGATCGAAACTACAATTCAAAACGCGTTTATATTTAAAAGCACGTCGTATATATAAAAAAGCAGCGCCGCGAAAGCAATAATTCGAGCGTAACGAGCGCGAGGTGTGCGTCGCATAATATTGCACACAACGTAAACAATAAGTTGGAGCGTAAAAATCGGCCAGGAGCAGGGAAGGTCGGTCGCGGGTAATAAATAATTGGTATTCCGGAGGCGTCGCGCAAATCACGTCAGCACGCAATTGCTAGTGTGGTCTTCTGGTGCAAGAGCGGCACGGAGAATTTGCATTAAACATGCAGATCCACCCTGCTCGCCGTGACTTCGCGAGTCCTTTCTCTTGGATTCGCGGAAATTTATATAGAGAAGGGAAAATTAAGAAATACAGAACAGAGAGCTCCATTGATTCTTACAATTAGTTGAAAGCGTGAATGTGTTAATAATCCTTCTATCATATTTTTCGTTCTGATATATTTTACTTAAATTTAAATTATTATCCTCTAGGATGAAAATAAAATAAATATTGAAATTCTATAGTGAAATTCTACCACAAAATTAAAAAACAAGTAAAATATAAAAAAAAATAGCGAAAAATCTGTTGAAAAAAAAAAACAAAAATCCTAAATAATGACATTTTTTGTCTTCTAAAAAAATGTAAAAAATCGTTTGTACACATGTTTAGAATCAGATTGACAAAATAATTCCTAAAGCTCCATTGTTATTGGGAAAAAATTATTTTTTAATTAAAATGATGAAGTTAAAATAATTTTATAAATTATAATTGAAAACTTTAAAAAAACCAACCGGTAATAGAAAAAAAAACATTTGAAATTAGGACCACTGGTCCTTTTATAAATATCAGAATAAAAATGATTTTAATTTCATCATTTTTTATTTTTTTTTCGCCTGGGTAATCCAGCTCAATTTTCATGATTAAAAAATGTAACATTCATAAATTAATTAAACGTAACGTAGCCGGATACTTTCTTGAACATCACATAACCTGGCTTGATTCAGTTTGATTCAAATGAGAAACACACATGTCGGTTGTTATTTATCAAAAGCGAGTGTAGCTGCCAAGAAAAATGCACACATAAATCAGTTCACACTCGCGTCAGAGTTGCAAATCGAAAGAGAGTGTGCCGCAGACAATCTCCTCAATCATTTTCCAATACCGTACTTCTTGCAACATTCAGGTGGATTACGAATTATTATTTTTTTTTTGCCAAAAATTAAAATTGGGTCTGGCTGGGCTCAAAGTGAGACTGGCTCGTTTCAGGCACACTCTAAAGAAGCCATCTCGTCTGTTCTGCAATTCAACGTTTACGGCCGT